AGTGTTTTAAGAGGATCTAAGGTAGGCTAACCACTGTGTTTGCCCATCTTCTGAAAGGTGTTGTTGCCATTGCAGTTAAAAAGTAGTATTACAAAAAAACAGTTATCATGTTGTACAGTACTTGGTGATGGCTAATGAAAATGTTTACTTTTTATGCCTGGGGAGTTATTGTTATTGTTGTTGTTGTGCTTGAAAAATGACATTTATAAAACATATATATGTTTGGTGAATAGTATTAGGCAAATGCTATCAACGGTTTTTCATTTTTATGCCTTTGTTTGGGAAGAATTCTATTTTCCTGCAGATTGTTATTGTTATTGTTCCCATAATTGTTGTTAAAAAAGTAACATTTAGGAGAAACCATTTCTTATGTTGGCTGAATACTAGGTGAGTGCCGAGTAAGATTTTTTACTTGTTTTGACTTGTTTGGGGAGGAATTCTACATGCTCTGTGGCTAGCTAAAGAGTTTTACATTAATAGTGTTACATGTTATAATAGCTGTTTTACTTATAAACTTATTGAAATTTCTTTTGTAAAGATAAACAATTTAATAGATTACTGGTGTTGTGTTGGGGAAGCTCTTATCCTGTATAACAGTTGAAACCATTCATATGGACACCTCCACAGTGCAGCCTGTTCTTTGGCTCATATGGTCCCAGCTTGAGCCAATAATCAAACATTTACAATACAGTGCATGAATATGTTGTGGTTCAATTTTACCCTTGGTGCAATATTATTCTTTCCTTTGTTTTCAACACTCGTACCTTGTTTATACACACACACACACACACAAAGTGAAATATTAAAATTGAGCCAAGAGTAAAATTTAACTGCCAATACCTAAACAATTTCAAAAGAAGTTCAGGTCTAATCTTTTTAATTTCATATCCATATATATTTCTGAGAATTAATACATATCAACAATGTCACTTATGTCAATGAAAACACTTCATACATAACACCAGGCGAACTTAAATTAACATAATGCCTTGTCTGTCTGATTGCATGATTCAAATACTACTTTCACACAGGAAAAGGTATTCTAAGGGAGACTGATTCACTCATGAAGAGAATTCCATCATTAATAAGACCTTAAACGGCACTTTTATCTACTATTAATAAGATCTGTTTGGTTAGATCAGTAAATTTCTAAACTGAATCCCTCCTTTCAATAAAATGATCAAAAAATTCTCAAAAGAAAGGCCTATTCATTTAAATATACTAGTCTGACCCGCCAGTCCTGACTAAACGTATTAAAACTTTGTTTCAACTGCGAACTTAGAATGTAATGAGTGAAAGCACCTTTCTATAATTTCAACTTTTGCAAGTAGCAAAGAGAAGTCTTGTCAAAAGACCATTTCCTGATATAATGAATAAAATGTGACTTCATGTGATGACATTAGACAGTAGATATTGCAAGTTGACACTGCTTGGTTAACAGTCTCAGTTT